TTCTTGACTGCTTCCAGGTAGCAGGACCGGGCATTCTTTTGATCACCCCTTTCCTCCCCGATCCCATTGGGAGTGTAGAATTTCATGCACAAGTGTGCCATAGAAATGATGGCCCTGACCTGGTTGATCCCAGGTCTACCAAGAATGGCATTATGTACACACTTGATATCAACCACAACAAATCTCATTTGCTTGGTTACTGTTTTGTTACCCGACCCCAAGGTAACTGGTAAGGTGATCTGACCTTCCGCTTCTATGCTAGCTCCAGTGAAGCCTGACAATGGAGTTTGCAATGGTCTTAACATGGACCTGTCCAGCTTCAATTTCTTGAAAGCATCCAAGTATAGAACATTGACACTGCTTCTTGTGTCAACCAGGACCCTGGCCACATCTGCTCCATTGATATCCATTGAAATAACCAAAGGGTCATTATGATCTCCCCCCGTCCTGGGCAGATCCCTATCAGTGAAAGTGATAGGTTCCCTCCTTGCCTGCTTCCCATGTGACTCCAGGGAAACCACCGCCACGTGCAAGCTCCTGGCCCAGTTCTTCCGCTGGGAGGCAGTATCCCCGCCTTCTGGGCCGCCGACAATCATCTGTATGAATTCTTTATCCGGATTGTTGTTATCCTTCCCGGATTTTCTCCTTCCCTGTTCTTTTCCCTGATGACGGGTCCAGGTGTTCGCTTTCGGGTCCCTCTTATTACCCGTCGCGTAACCTTCCCCAAGCTCTCCTTTTAAGGCCATCTCCTTGAGCACAGCCTTGACATTTCGGCAATCCACCGTATTGTGGGAGTCAAATTGGTGGTAGGTACACCACTTCTCCGTCCAAGGCCTCTTGGGTTGTTCTCCCTTCTTATCATCCCTTATTTGATGGACAGACCCGTCATACGTAGCCTTTAGTTTGGACCCTCCCATCTAGTCGTCCTTCTTTAGCTTGTCGGATTTCGACTTTGTGTAGCCTTCCTCCAGCTCCCGCTTATTCTTGTTCAGCACTTCTGCCTCGGCATATTCCCATGCCGTATTGTAGGCTTCCTGATAAGAGGAGGGCGGCCTCCTACAGAATTCAGTGTAGAGGTCACCTGACCGGAAGGCATTCATCAACAAAGACATGGCCGTCTTATCATCCATCTCTTCTACCTTGTCAACCTCATCCCTCCAGCGGGTTAAGAATTGAGTCAAGGTCTCCTTCTCCCTCTGCCCTACCGTGTTAAGGTAGGTAAATTTCTTCCTCTTGATGCAGTTGTCCTGGTACTTCTTGCGGAAAACTTCAGCAAGTTTCTCAAAGGACCCAATCCTGCCATGGGGAAGGCCGTTAAACCATTCCACTGGCCTCCCTCTCAAGGATGAGAAGAAGAGCAGGCATTCCTCAGCATCAGTGCACCCGGCCATCTGTGCTGCATTGTGGAAGGTGTCAAGGTGGACGTTTGGATCCTCCTTTCCAGTGAATTTTTTCACGTCCAGCTTGACCTTACGCCTCAATTTTTGTGCATGTACCCTGGCCGAAAAGGGTGATTTGGCCAGGGTGTGCTTCTTTGCTCCCGCCTTCTCGTCCACCTTTTCTTCCAGGGCACGTAACTTTCTTGCTACGCTTCCAATCTTGTCCAGATCATCCTCATCATATGAGAGCCTGGTATATGCCGACGCCCTGGGCTGGCTTTCTGCTTCCTCCTCGTCTTGGCGAATCGTCTCAGATTCCCTAGAACGACGAGATTGGGCGTGACGACTCCCGCCAAGTCTTTCCATCGCGCTAGTTCGGCCCATCTCAGGACCAAGACGTTGCTTGGCAGACTTGCGGGGTCCATCCTCTTTGTCCCCTAGGCGTTTGAACGCCGAATCTCGAGTCTTGCTAGGTTTGGCTATAGCCTTACCCTTCCTCCTGCGGGCCGCCTCTTGCTCCGCCTCATCGACCTCATGGACATTTGAGGGTGCTGCTTCATTCATGGTCCCCGTCAGATTCACCGGATGTATAGGGACCATCCTAGGGATAAATGTTGACGGGGTCGACACCGGAGGTGGCATGATTGGTGGCATCATGCCGGGATAGGCAAATGGCATGAAGCCCCCTGCCTGTTGCATCATGGCCATCACCTGTTGATAGCCCTGTAGAGCCTGAGCATTTGCCGGGTCAGCAGCAAACTGAGCCCAAGCTGATGGGTATGGTGTGAATGCTCCACCAGGCGTCGTTACCGAGCCTGGGAACATTGTCGTCGTCGGCGTAGGAGTAGGGGTTGACATGATTGGGATCATGCCAATCGATCCTACAGTGGTGATCGGAGCAAAGGTCGTCCCAATGCTCGACATCATCAATGGGATGGCAGGAGTGCTTTCACTCGCAGCCTGGCTTGACACAGCGTTGTAGTTGCTTGAAGACATGATTGTGGATATTTAGTGGGGGTAAAGTTTTGACCTGGTCGAAAAAACTTTAAAAATC